TGTCAGCGAAATGTACTTGGGTTCTGTTTTTGTGACGATTGCTTATCTTGAGTTATCAGGCTCGTATTTCGTGGTTTAATTTTGTGATTTATCTTCATTTTGGAAATAGTACTTCCAAATTGTATGATGTGAATCAGAAATTAGAATGTTGTTTATAGAAACATCATCGCAATAGGAAATCCTCATTCTCTCGCAGTTTCAACCACCCCGGTAGTACTTTATTTATTTAAGGTGGACTGAGAGATTCATCGCTTGCCGTGTTTCCGTTTTCTTACATGACGTGTCAAGAATCTGAGCCATACGCGGTTTCCGGATGGTTATTCATCTCCGTACATTCCGGATGGTACTTGACTTTATCTGATGCAAGATGCAATTTTCACCGCGTCAGAAATATTGTTAGCCCCTCAATGGATTACAGCGTCCTTTTTGAAGAAAACTAACGATTTCCCCCACGCAAGACGACAGCCCTTCTTACAACTATTCAAGGAAGGCCGGGTGAGTTCCTTGCCCTTCCATCCCTCCAGGAAATTCCCCGGCCGCTCCATGAATTTCAGTCCTGACCCCTTGCCGGAAACCAGCGCACTCTTGCTCTTGTTCACCGCCAGACTTACACTTAATTGAGTTAACGTGGCGTATGTATACATCATATGTTGTCCGCCCTCTTCCTGGAGTTAAAAGTAGCGTTTGGAAGGAAGCGCTAGAATACACGAGGTGTGATTGTGCTGTCCATTCCAGGAAACGAATAAAAAACAGTTGGTGTTGTATTTAAAGGCGTTCGAAATTATCATGTATGTGCACTTTACAATACAATACAATTATAATTGCCCCTTTTAGTACTCGTAAACTATCAAAAAATTAAAGACAATTGTAAAAGACTTGGGACAAGGCAACACATAAAAATAAATTTTCTTGAAATATATTTGAATAAATTATTTTGAAAACTTATACATAAAAATATTATTTTATAATTGAAATAATGTGTTATAATAAAGGAAATAATCGTGTATTATAATTTACCATACATCAGAAATTATTTTCAAGCTAATAAAACCTTAATAACCGACTTACGAGCATGAACGTAATTCAAGCTTTAAAAAAATATGACAAGTTGTTCCAACATTGAAGTCGACGCACTCCAAAACTACGATGCATGAAAAAAATTCCCTGTAAAATGATGATTCTAGTGGCCGCTTGGACACCCACTATATTTTAAAGTTGAACGAAATTCCTTCTTAAGAATCATTCACGCCTATAAAGGAATTTTAATAACTTATAATTCCGTCTTTGGAGCCGTTATATAATTGCATGGAGATGTACCTTCCCCGTGCGTGTGCACTGGAGGGCCGGGCCTGGAATGGGCGACCGGGAGACGCATCGCCCTGGGCGGCGGCGGTGGGGGCGGAGGCGGCGGCGGCGGCGGCGGTGGCTGCGGTGGAC